AATTCTGGGACATCCTGATTTGTAATCCATTGATTCATAACCATAATATTTTTATTTTGAAGAAGTAGCTTAAAAAATCTGTACTGTACTGTACTTGGATTCACTGTTTTTGACTGACCACCGAAGAACTCTTCCTGGTTTCTTTATCCATCTCCCAAATGTGATTGGTTTTGTTTTTTCAAGTCATGTGGTTCTAGCAAGTAGCATCATATGGCGTGACTGAGTGATCTGATAAAGTGTCCTTAGAAGTAAATTCGGGATGATTAAAACATTCCAGTTAGGTAGATGTGAGACACCGGATAAGCAGTACAAGTGAATTAGTTAGGTTGGGATATTGATAGTAAGTAGATAAGCAGTAATTTTGGATGCTGTTGCTTTGCGTGCTTTTACTTCTTTCATTATTTTAGAGACAGAGAGACTATACTGTGCTTTCATCACTGTTTGCACACACTTGCTTTCTCATTGCACTCTGCTTGATGGAATTGCTGTCACAAAAACCCCACAACCAGCTGAAAAAGAGAAGTGTTTCCTGCTAGGTGCTAAAGGATGGGTGCAGGTTTATATTATTCATGCTGCCTGCGATGGGGAGGATGCGGAATCCTGAGAAGACTTTTTCTGGCACTGAGCCAGTGTAGTTGGTGTGTCACAGTGCCCAGCTCCATGTATCAGCCTGCTGTTCTCCTGAAGAGGAGACGAGGGGCCCCTAGGGTCTCCTTTTACAAGTGGTAGCCACCTGTAGTGAGTTACCTGAGAGGTACTCAGATAACAACTGGGGACCAGAGCAGTCATTACCCACTTCCTCTAATAGAAAAATAGCTGAAAAGCAGTTTCATTTCAATGCAGTGCTGAATGCAGCTCAAAAGCTCAGTCATTCCCACTCTTTAACACTCAAGTTCTTACCTCAAAGCTATGTGCATTGCTGCTTTGAAGTTGTTTCAGAAACAGTTTGTACATTTTGGGAGAAGGGGAGAACTGGGAGGTGTGCAGGGAGAGAAAAGGAAACTGAAGCATTTAACGCCAAATTTCATGGGGAATTATTACTTTTAGATTATGACTGTCTCAGACCAATGGGAGGCAGGAGCTCCACCAGGTCTTTGTAAACTCTTTAGTTTACATAACACAATGATACATGTGATGCAAACACAGCAAAATACTGATTTATTAGTTCTCAGGTTAGAATTCAGCATCTGAAGTCCACTGAAAGGAACACATCTCCGTTACATTTATGCATTATGTAATATTTTATTTTTATAACCAGCAAAAAGCAAATATATAATAATTCTACAAATCCATTTTAGACTTATTTTAAACTCAGTGTATAAAATTATAATCCCAAGGAGTACATTTCCTGTATAGAAGAAAATTCAGGCTTCTGTCTTCACTCTTGGCCAAGGAGAGCTGGTTAGGAAGAAGACAGCATATGGTTACATGACTGCTGAGGTTTCATGTAATTTGTGGTCTGCTTAATTCCTTGTTTCACAAGAGACATAATCTTACATGTAAAATAAAAGCACATTTAATATTATCCTCCAGTGGGTTTTTTTTTGTCTCCCCCTTCCTAAGGCTGGTCAGGGAAGCCCAACACAACGATCAAGTAATCAAATCAAGACCTTGCCTTCTTTCATTTGCCTGTTGTAATGACAGCTTAGAGAAAATCTCAAAAGAAACCAAACACATTCATCCAATTTTCAGGTACTTTTCACTGTACTTGCTGCCTGAAAACACAGAGAAATTACACTCCCCCAGTGTGTCTGACTCTCTAATAAATTCTTAACCCGAGGCTATTAGCCATACAAGCCTTTTTTAGTATCACTGGAATCATCTTCAAAACATTTAAGTGTTCTATGAACCTAGAGATTGTAAACTACTATCCATTTTTAAAAAAAATAACCTAGGTTTTGTTCCAAAGAATTTTCCATTGATTTCTTCTGTCATGTTCATATTTATAAGATTTAGTCTACTTGTTGCTTCTGACTTGTTTGTAGTAAATAATTTTATCTTGTTTATGACAATGTACAATTATTTGTCACCTGCTAATGTTTCTGTTGTCCAAACAGATCACTAAAACAGCTTAAACAAACTAATCATTTTTTGGTCTATGTCTGCTAACAGATTCTGGTTTTAATTTTGGAACAAGGCTTTTTTCTTGAAATCTGTTTGTTTAAACTCAAATGTCATGATTTTTTCCTTAAATTATGATAATCCATTATTCACGTGAATCCAATACTGTAAGTGCAAGAATGATAAATTGAACTTGATTGACCAAATGGATTTTGTAGATTGGATGGTTTTCTAATTTCATTCTTTTTTTTATTATTATTATTCTTTAGTATTTGCAAGTTGAAAAAACTCCCTGTTTTGTTTTTTTTTCTCTAGAGGAGAGAGAATGAATGATGATAATGATAGAGAAAGAATGGTGATAAATGACATTTCTTACTGAAGAAACCTTGAAACAAGTACTATGTTTGATTGTCTTCTTGATTCACCTAAAATTTTTTCGAAATTTCAAGAAGACTTGAATCAACATACAAGCAACTCAGCAACATGTATGAACAACTCATACATGCCTGACTTTAAATAGAACCTGGTTTAGGCTTCCTAGATTGTGATTGGCTACACAAATTACTTTCAAAATGGACCAGAGATTTCCATTTCTGAGGCCTAAAGAAATTGCACCTAAATTTCTAGGGGGAAAAAAAAATAAAGCAAGCAAGCAAAAACCACCAGAAAACAATTTTTGATGTAAAAACACATTCCATCACCTGCCATAGGGGTTGTCTGGTGGTGTCCCCCCTATTTCCTTTCCCCAGACCTGTTGTGTGTTTTACGTTTTTGGCAGGAGGGGAATGCTGTAGGCCTTCACGTCATGGCCTTCCTGCTTATTCTCTCAGTGAGTCCAGCAGTGATTACAGGCCATTCTTCACCCTCCCTACCATCAGGCAAGGGAGTCCCCACCCAGGAGGTTTAGGGGAGAAGGGGCACCACTTTTGGCTGTTGTGTGGGTGGTGCAGGGGCTGCTTCCTTGGATGGTCTTTTCAGGACCTGTGCTATCCAAAGACAAATCAAAGGTTTTTCTTTCTCATTTGGGAAACCCAGAGCTTCTTCAATCAACTACATGCCAGCTAGTTATGAGGTCTCAAGAAGTGTCATTGGCAGCAGGGAGGGGAGTCAGTTTGGGTATTGTTTTCCTCCTGTCCCTTTCTGGAATTTCGTTGAGCTGCTGTTGGAGTGGGAATGCATTTGATGTAGGGAAACCCATGCTGTACTCACAGAAACGTAAGAGGAAAAAAAACCATGACCTATAAGCCATTGTGGTAGTCAGGACACCCATTAGCAAAGCCTTTGAAGATAGGAGCTAAGGGTTAGAGAGTCGAAGTCTTTGATTGCAGCTCTTTGCAGGAAGGACCTGAAGGCAGTAATAACACTGTAGTACACAGATTCATAGGCCTGGAATGTCACCATGACTTTAGTAGCCCAAATAATTGCCTTTTCTTTTACTCCCAGTTGAAGATATGATATATATAGCAAATACAATGCACCCCCTCTCCTTTTTAGATCAGTTTCCAGCATTTAACAATAACCTGGATAATTCTTTAAAATATATATTGATTTACCTTACTCCTTTTCTTAGTTTATTTCAATAGGTGCTGTGGTGAGAATGTTGTTAAACAGACCAACTACTGTAGATGTGCTTTGTGCAGTCTGTAGCTTTGATTCACCTGGTGCAAGGATGATTTTATCCATGCAAATGGTGTTGTACAAGGAGTGACTGTGTCTATTTATACCAAGGCAACTGTGTAACTAACTCTAAATGATGTGTGAGTACTTGCATTGTTGGCACTGTGAATATCTGGGTGATATAATTTCCCTGTCATAGTCTTCCCAGTAACCTAAGGTACAAGTCATTTGACCTTCTGTGCCTCTTTTCACCATGTATAAAAATGGGAATAATTACTCATCATTACCCTAGCCATATAATACCTGGAGGTACCTTGTTATTACAAGGCTGGGGAAGGAGTCCTATAATTACATGAGTAGAAAAACACATTTGTAGAAAGACCAGCTGCTTAAACATACATGCAAATGGGAGATTAAAAGCTTCTCTTCCTTGTCCCTCCAACATAATTTTCTTCAGATTGGAATACTGTACTTTGTACTTTCACAGGGATAAAACTGATTTATCAGACCAAACTCTAAGCTCTCCTAAAATATCAAAGGCTAGGTCATTATCTTAATGTCTAAGACTAAGCTAGGCTAAGCACAGCAGACCCAAAGCTTACATTATCCAGGATGCATATTCATTGCACACTGGCAGAAACCCTGAGTAATTTGCTCAGTGGAGTTACATCCTTGTAAAAGTCATGTAGATGAAAATTGAGCTGGAGCCTCATGTTTCTGCTGTTCCATGAAGGTCTGACTTCACAGACATGTTTTTAATACAAATGGCCATGCAAGCCTTAGTGTTGTGTATGTGTTTGATGAACGCTCATTATTTACCTAATTTTCATTCCTTCTCTGTATCCTGCAGAATAAAGTGCAGTTCTGTCCTCACAGGAAAAACTGGGTTTACTCTATGCTAGACCTCCTAATTTCTGTGTGGCATTGTCTCCAGATTCAGTGGAAATCCACTTGCCCAGATATGGTTGTGCATTCTTCTGGTCCTTATTACATTGTTAATTATAGACTGTACTTTGAAGGAAGAATATTTTCAGGTTTAACACAGGCAATTTTTCTGAAGCTGATTGGTGTTGGTCTGAGGTTGGGTTTTAGCATTATGCGATGCTGCTTTTTGCACTGCTTTCATTCTTTCATACTGCTTCTGTACTGCAAGCCATTGCCTGTAATTGTCTGAGCAGTGAATCACTAGAAGTAAAATAATTGCACAGGTACAACTATCACAATATTTTTTTTTCTTTTGTGTGTATTGCCTTAACAGTAAGATTTGAGAAAGCAAAATACATTTCAGGTGCAAACACCAATTGTTCTGTTTCTTTTGGTAGATGTACCAACACCAGAGGCTGGAAGAGAATTAGTGGATGCCTCTGTAGTGAACGGTGGCCCGGCACCACAAGGAAAGCAGAACGGGGCCACACAAGTGGCAGTGCAACGCAAGAGACTCCTTAAGGCTCCCACGTTGGCTGAACTTGACAGCTCAGATTCAGAGGTAAAAAATCAGGACACAACTTACTTCTCTATTTGTCACAACTGAGTCTTACTTCTTAGTTTGCTGAACTGATCAGATGAGAAGTGACTGTGCAAATTATAATCCAAATTTTCCATGGCTGCTTTGTCAGCCCACAGAACTCCAAAAATACTAGATCAGACCCCAGAATAGGAGAACACTCTTTTGAAAGATTAAATGGTAATTTTGGCCTTAAACCTATATTTACTTACATTCCTAAATGCCCAGTATCTGTCCACATTGTGTTTGTAGTGAGTATGCTTTTGGGAATTTAGGAAAGTACATAGCACCCTTCTGGCATTTATGCAGTAGCTGTTACTAAAGATGTGGGGCTAGCCTCACCATAACAGCTGTTAAATGAAGAGCAGCAGCTGTGCCAGAGGGGTTGCAGTTTGGTGCCAGTGTTAGTGCATTAGTTTGCTATATAAGATTGGGAACAAACACCCCAAAAATGTTTCACAGATAGGGACAAGCAAATATCACTCAGATGGAGAAATAATTCTGAATTCATCCACTCTAAATGGGGAGTTAAAGATTTAAAAAAGCAGTAGGAGAAAACCTTAAAAAGCTTTTTTAGCTTCAAAGCTGCATTATATATGATCCTCAGGAAGTACCAACATTACATCCTTAAAAAGGAGCTTTGTCTTCTGGACCAGTAGTGTTATTAATTGAGTTTGGACCTTTCTGAAAGTTAAGCTGTCTGGAAAGCACATGCAGGCGAGCTTTATTCACAGGGGATAATTTTAGCCTGGGGAAAAGCAGTCTTCCCTGACTCTTTTTCTCTCTTGTAAATGGGAAAGGAGGGGTTTCCTGACAGGGTGGTTACAAAGGCATCTATGCTGAAAGATAGGAGGCTGGGAAGAAATATATGTGGGGAGAAATTTATCTCTTTCCATGCTTTCTGATCTGTGAAAGGTTGACCCTCTTTGGGGTTATCCTGTGGGTGACTTGTGTGGGTGCATAATTCGATGCATCTGTTTTGAAAGCAGAAGATATTTGCATTCTGAGATCACTCATCAGTCTTTAAAATTACAATAGCGGCTATATGTGGTTTGTTAATATGAATGAAGCTGGGCAGGATGCAGGAATACCAAGATCTGTCAGTGAGAGTTGGATCTTACAGCCTTTACTATGTGTATCCTGAAGCATCATGTTATTTTTCACAGGAAAATGAGCAAAAGTCAGTAAAAGAAAATTAAGTAATGGGAAATGTGAAATGATTCTTGTAGAAGGGAAAAATAAAATATCTGAACATGGCTATTGATTAGTGAATACTCTGTCGGCAAGCAAAGTGGTATGGAACAAGCTCTGGAACATACAGCAAAAGATAAATTGAAAATAAATCAACCACATCGAGCTGTCACAGAGAACAGATGCTGGACTAGTTTGAGTCAATAGAAATAGTGGTGATGCAGCTGAGATGATAAAGATGCTCAGCAGAATACTGGTTGGGGCTCAGGAAGAGTGCTAAGGTAGTGAAAATAAACAGAAGGGAGTTTGGGTGAAGTTTTTCAAGGTGATGAAGGACATAGAACATTTGAGGAGGGTGAAGATCACTCTGTCCAAATGTTTTATTTCTTCCCTGACTTTTACTTTGTATGTAACACAGAGAAGAGTGTGTGGATTGTTCTGATTGCCTGTAAATGACTCGGCCACCTCTTTGTCTGCAGTTTGAATTGGGCTTAACCTATTTGGAGTTACTCACTGGGAGTGAAATGATGACCATGTTGTGCCCTAAATTACAGGCTGGAAATACCTGCACTGCTGAGCTGTGATGCAGATGCATTTTCTTCCCCATGTGTCCCCTTTGTTCTTTCATCGGTGTTGCAATGCAGGCTATGTCCCAATACTCAGTGTAACCAGGCAGAGGTGAAAGGCAAGGTCTGATACAACCCTATGTCCATATTCTATCAAGGATGAATATTGTAGAAATACTTCCTTCTTTCTGTCCTTGCTTTCTCTGCATCACCACTAAAATCACAGATTTCAAGGGGCGTGGAACAGGAAGTGCCATTTTGCTTTGTGTGCCTAAGAGAAGTAGCAACCTAATAGTCACTTTTGATACAGATTTAAAAATTGCATCTTCCTAATGAAGCTACAGCCAAAAATTGTGGCTGTAATATATTTAGATGATTTAAGCTGCAGCTTTCTCAGTAACTGTAAAATTCTAATTGTTTGGCACTCTGGAGAACTGCGGAGTCCTGGATGTTGGGTTTATCCAACCTCAAACATAAAATGTCAGATAGTCTACGATAATAGTCAGCAGTTGGTGTATAGATATGGAGGAATTCATGCTGTGGTTCATCGGGACTTCCTACACAAGATTTAATTCTCAAAAAAACTTTTTTTTTTTGTTTGAGATGTTTGAGAAATTGTAGGACAGCAATAGAATTGTCAGTACAAGTGTTTGTGCACAGAAATAGTAATCTGAAATTACTAACCTGGAATACCTGTTGTCTAAGTAGGATTTTATGTCCAGTTTAACTTCCCCCTGGCTTACATTTTCCATGTCTTGGTTTATACTTAATATTTTTTATACTTAGCCACTGGTTCCAACAGTTCATTCTTTACAACAGCAGAAGAGCTTACTTAGTCCTTCATCTTAACTCATTTAGCTTCTCTGGCAATGGTAAACTCATCTGCCACTCAGAACAATCTGACTTCTACGAAGTGAAAAGTTGAGTAGTTCCCTTTGTACAGGGCTGTTCTCTTTTTCATAATTTAAGTATTTTACTCTACACTTGTGAACACTCTTGCACCCCTTCTAAAGAACAGTGCATCCAATTATCATGGAAGTTCTCCATTGGTCTTTTAAGGCAACCATGCAATATGCAGAGCTGTCTGAGCCAGCTCTGTAGCTAAACGGTACTGGTTTCTGCAAGTAAAACAGCTGATGTAGCTCAGTGTGCTGCTCAAGCTTCCTTACAAGCTTCCCATCACAAGTGTATGTAGGGTCACAATTGAAATGTTAAAGTGAATATACTGTTTTGGGATGTGAGGTGGTTTGAGACCCCTTGCAACCCTTTGTGTTATGGCAAATAGGTGGGAGCAGTGTCCTCGAATACAACACCTACCCTGGGGCTAAGCCTAAAGGACAGATCACTGGGTGGGAATTTGTAGAGGCCTGTGTCCTATGATGCGTGGTGCTCACTGAGGTGATCCTGCCAGCTTTTATTTCGACTTGCTGTTACCAAAGAAGGCAATGTTTCAGTCAGTGGAGATTTTCAGCTACGGAAATCTGTGAGAGAGCTCAGCCACTTGCTGGATTTTAGGGCAGGTCACTTGTTTGATCTGTAAATCTTGACAGCCTAAATGATGTTAAGTCTTTTTGGTTGAAAGCACGCACATAAGAGGTAAAGAGTGTTCACGCTCAGTCCTTCAGCACTCTTCACTTGGGAGGCTTCTGTGATGATCTGTTTCTTTGCTGGTATGGTGTGGCTGACGACAGGCTGTAGGTGACAGCAAAAGATGAAATAATTTGGGTGTCATAAAGCTTTAGATAGCTGAGAGGTGTTTAGTTAAAGCCCATTTCACTTTCCTTCATCTTGCTGGAGTTGCTCTTGGCTGTTGAGAAGAAGCATGCTGATACACTGAATGAGATTTCTTTTAAATACAGAAGAAAGGAAAAACACACCAGGATTGGGAATTAGGGAACAGTGCAGTCAAATTCAGTTTAATTTCTCTTCACCTGAGTTACTTTTGTGAGTGGCTCTCATTCCTTTGGAGACCAGTGAAATCTAAGTGCTAATTCCCTATTCATGTGAGATATAAAGCTGCTAACATATCTGCTGTAGCTGCAAATCCAAGTCTTTGAATACAACAAAGAAAATTAACAGTTTACAGTGAATTCATGCACCTCTCTCCTGATCTTATTCTTTCATGCAGTAGTTAAACACACTGAATTCAAATCATGTACCATTTATTTCACTTTCTAAAAATCCTGAGCACTGAAAATCCTGTTTGCTCAGTACTGTGCAGAGGCAGAGGCTGTTTTTCTCAGGACTTCTAGGACTTTGAGTAACTGAATGGTCCAAAATATCTTTGTGGTTTCTGTGTCCTAAAAAGCAATAGGAAAACTAAAAACAGGCCTTGAGAAATTATGTTTCTTTTCCGCTTGTCACAACAGGAGGAATCCATGCACAAATCAGGAAGCAGCAGCAGCATCTCCCCCTCACAAGTGGAAGACCCCTCTCAAGAAGGCACCAGCAGCAGAAAGAGTGAGTTATGAGAGAGTCCAGTGGCTGCTTTTATGCACTTATGTTGTCTTCTGTGCTATGAACTTTGACTCAAACTTATATGGAAAGCTGAAGCTGAGTTCTGTCAATGGAATAAACTTCTAAAGCTGAACTCTGTTGAATGGGTCAAATGTGATAAACAGTTGGAAGGCACTCGCTTCCACTCTGGGTGGATATCTTTGTGAAACAAAAGGTTTCATCCTTGAAATTTATGTAGGACTGTAGAGGAAGTCACAAGTGAATGGAGGGGATTGCTTAGCTTGGCTCATTTCATAAAGTAACTTTTTCCTGCTGAAGCATGTTGTAACCTAAGACCAGTTTAAATGTTTCCTCCATCTCTGCCACTGTGGCAGTGTTCAAAGGACACTTAGCTATCACCAGTATTTCTCATAAACACTTACTGGGAAGAGGGCAAGATCTGGTCTTTTTTTTTCACGCACAGTTATTGCAGGTTTTACTGTGTAACAATGCTTTCCATTTGTTTCAAAGGGTCTCAGTTTCATTGGGAAAGTTTTGTAATGAGCTGTGTAATCTGTGCATGTGTTTTCTGTGCATGATGGTGAAATAAGTAGAATATCCTGAAACACTTCAGTATGGATATGTAACTTCAGCCACCAGTAGTAGGAATTCTAGCAAATCAGTGGCTGGATTAATTACTGAGCAATGTTATCCAACAGTCTCTCGTAGAAGAACTGACTTTTTTGTACTGATTGAATTCTTAGTGCCTCCAAAGTTCTTGCCCATATCGTCTACGCCGCAGCCCGAGAGACGACAGCCACCTCAGAGAAGACACTCCATCGAAAAGGAAACACCAACCAATGTGAGACAGTTCCTACCCCCTTCAAAACAGAGCTCCAGGTCACTTGTAAGTGGAGTGGGTGGTAGGAGAGAGAAAAAGAGGAATGCTAAGAGTATAATAAAAATTAAAACTTGGCTTCAGTGTGATTAGAACATGACCCAAAGAAAACTCCTCAATTCAGAAACTCTTGGCTACTAAAGTTTTGAAAGTTTTAAAGTTTTGAAATCAAGATTTGAACTTTGTCCCTCTAACACATTTATCCAAAATCCCAGGTACAGGTTCCTCAGAAAACATTTGCACTGTGATTTAGTACTCCGGGTAAACCACGTGTCTTGGTTTTTGTTTCAGAATGTTACCAAAACAGATGAACTTCACCTTACTGATATTCCACTTGAATAGAGACAATTCCAAAGCAGTGGATCTATTTTGGGATTTGGGGGAATTTTTTTAGTTGTTGGAAGTATTGCAGTTAATGACTGGATGAATTGGAATGATTTCTTTTCTTCCCACCTTAAGAACTTGCCTGGTAATGTTTATACACATATATGAAAGTTCTTTAAGTAATCCAAATCAAGGTTTGTCTGTGTTGCTTTGTTGAAGTTACTGAGGCAAAAAACTGTATTACTGCTTGAAAAGAAAGTACAGTGCATTTGATCAATTAGCTTTAATTGTGAACTGTTTTCCAGCAGAGTACAAACACCAAAGGGTATGAAATCCTGGTTCGTTTATGCTGACATACTGATTAATTTCATGCAGGATATGTTCCTTGTCTCTTTTCCTACCAGCAGAGATTCAAAGTGTGCCCCATGAGGTGCTGGTGAATAGAGAAATCGATAAACACATCTGAGTTTTGAAAGGAAGGGAATATTCACTTGCCCTGTCTTGTAGTGCAATGGTATTAAAGGGCTTTGAAGAGCGTTTTTGTTGGCCCAAGAGATGACAGATGGGATCCAAACCTATTAGATGATGAAGCTGATCATCATCAGTTACAGGAAAAATACCTCCATATATTCCCACAATGGGCTTTTCTTTTTCAGAGGTCTGCTGGATTTTATTACATCCTTCCAAGTAGAATGCAGTTTCTCATTCCAGGCACACATCAGGTAGTAACATGTTGATAAGCGCACAGCCCAGGTGGACATCTACCAAAGTGAACTTGGAGCAGGATGTATTGCAGCAGACCTATGCTGAAGGGCACCTTCAGCATGTGTTTGAAGTCACTGTCACATAAAATGGGTTTCCCTGTCACCTCCTGCTGCACTCACTGTATGTGGAAACCCAGACTTTATTTTCTGATAGGTCCAGAGTTATTCACAGACAAATAGTTTAAAGGGAGGAGGGGAGAAAGCATCCTGTGTTACACTGAGACATTTGCTCCATCGCACTTCTAGTGTATCTGAGTTTGCTCATCATAATATTAATCTCTTGTATTTCAGAGGAACATGCAACTTAAAATCTTATATGAGGCTGTTATTTTAAATAGGTCAACCAAGTTCTTACCAGGATCTTCTTGACCACATACATACTCTCCCTCTGCTGGTATATTCACTGACATATGCCTAGAAAAATACATTAAAAATAAAACCACTGCAGAAAAACTAATTCAATTATTCCGTTCGCCCTGAAAAATACTAAAGGAAAAGGGAGAAAAAGGCATAAGTCAGGCTAATTTGGGAACAGATGGGAAAGATTTTTACTAGTTTATTTTGTGCTTAGGGGGATTTTTTTGTTTGTTTTGGTCTTTTTCTTTTTTTTTTAAAATCTCTAGAGAACTGTCACCTAGCTTGGTTTTGACTTTGAAGTGAAAAGGAAGGAAGCCAGTAGTGAAATGATGTTCTGTTAATAAAAACCTATTTTATTTGATGCCTAGAGAGCTAATTCTTTAACTTGGCAATAGTGCCCTCTAGGGTGTGACAAACACCTCCCTCAACAGTCTTGTTTTTCATTTTGGGAGATGTGTTCTGCTATGCTGGCACTGGCCCAGTTCCACACTTCGGCTTTCTGCAACTCTCTCCTTTCCAGAGCCTCTGGAAGTGGCTGCGCCAGATGTTGTACCCATGAAATTGCCATTCCCAGAGTGAATGCTTCTCAATAAGTGCAGAGTATTATTTATTTTTTATTTGACCTCACACTTCTTTATTGCTTCCTCCAGGATTGATGGAGTTTCATTTCTTATCACCAGCTCCTGTGACCCTGGTTTCTCTCCAAGGTGAAAGAGGCCTTGTCAGCAAATAGCTGTCAATGCCAGTGAAACCAGGCAGGGGTTTGCTACAGTCTCTTAGCAGGATTAGCAAGAAACTGCTGTCTTGCATACTAACGATGGTTTTGTGAACTGACATCTCATCAGACAGAGGTAGTTAGACCCAAGTAGGTGGGGAGGGGAAACAAGCTTGGAAAAGTGCCAAATACAGTCCTTTTGACATGCCACCCTGCCAGTGCTACATGGAAAGGCAGGGTGGCTCAGTGATTTGGGGGGGTCAGCCCTGGTGGTTGCTGTAGTGAGCTGATTTGATGCTTAATCAGTTAGATCAATTCAGTGTCCTGAGATTTACATGTGGGTGCCTTTGCAGTCTGTTTGCTCCTTTAATTATTATTTTTATTATCATTACTTTTTTCATGACCCAGAGGACCAAAGCTAATGGTTTCATTTATACACAGCATTCGCTTCTCTGCTCCCTATCTATTGTTCAGGTTCCTAGGATAACCAGTTTATTTCCAAGGATGACTTTCAGACCACTTTTTTCAACTATGCAAACAGCTTCTCTGCTCAGCTCTCATCCCGTTGAAGCAGCCATGTGTGGGGTGGCAGGGGCTATGTACTATCTCTGTGAGAGAGCTTTTGCCAGCAGGTGGAAACCCGCAAAGGTTTGCCTCTTTTCGCTGGCTTTGGAAATCACCTTCACCAGCATGTTCCCTCCTAGGGGAGCACTTCCTCAGCTGTGGCAAGAATTACAGCTTAGGCTGGGACATTGCACCTGATTGACTTTGATTTCAATGTGTGTAGGATATTTGTGTGTCTTCAATCACCTCACGGGGAAAAGAAATCAGTTCTGAAAGGACAGCAAACTAAAAATGCAACATCACCAGATTATCAATGGGACAGACCTTAAATATTACAGCACATGAAGATCCTGCAGCAAAAATCCATCAAAACTATTGTGATGCTTGGACTATGTTGAAAAGAATAAGGTTTTATGTTTCTCCCAAGGTACACTACATAGAATGGGAGGGCATTTGCAATCTGCTTTACTTGAAAACCTACATACTGTTTTGGTCCTCAGCACACTTATGTATCAGAACTTGCAGAATAGTTCATATCCATCTATCAGGGAAGGCAAAGCCACTGAAAAGAATACGTAATTCATTTACCCTATGTTAACTGAACATGAATTATTTAATTTTTTCTTCTGTTTGTTGTTCCAACCAATAAGTGGGAGGGTGAAACCTCTTGTAGGAGAATTTATAGTTGAGATACCCAGCTGATGTTTTAGAAACTTTTAGTCTGCAAAAGGAGCAAGAATTTAGAGTGCCTGACTAATTGTGAGTTGCAGAATTTAGAGGCCACTCTGGTGCTCATTCATTTTGCAATTTACTAATGCAACTCATTTGAATGTCTAGTGACATCCTTTAATGAGAAGAAGGAATACATTAGAGTAAAAATGTGTTAGTCATAAGAACCTATTAGGTGTGTGTACACTGAGAATGACCTACAAAGCACATTATGGATATGCAATTCTTACTACCTGCTTTTCCTGCATAAAAAAATATATATATAAACGCCTTAAGCTATAGTGTTTATAAGATGATTGCATAGTCAGTGTTAAGCCAGTCCCCAAGAGGATCATGGAAACTTCATATTCAAAATAGTATTTTCAAATAGTATTTTTTCCCCTCTAAAAATAAGCATACTGGCTTGTGTTTAATATTATAAAGCGTATTGAGTAAATTCTGTAAATTCAAGACCATTCAAACCACATTTTGTCTTTACTATGTTCTGTTATGCGAGTATTACAGAGAGTACTCTCACTTGGAGCTGCCGAATTTGGGTGTAGGCTATTGTTGGAAGTTTGAGCAATAACTCCAAAGCATCATTGTTCAATGAAGTTTAGCCAGTGCTTAGCAAAATTTAATTAATTTCAATGCCTTAGAGGTAGTGTAGAAACAAGAGATTTTCTTGTTTACTTATTTATATTCTGAAAAGGGAAAAAAAAAAAAACAACAAACCAAGCAGTTTTCTGAAATGGGATTATTTATCTTTCATTTAATGTTGCATTAACATTTTGTTGTCCTTGTGTAACCACTGGAATTAAAACATTAGCATTTAAACATGTGAATATTTTTTATGTTTCCCCTGCTGCCTGCTGGCTATTTCTATATTTTAATGGTATTTATTTTCAATTGGTATGACAACAGGCCCACACTATTCCCCTAGTACGTGCTCACACCTATAGCAGATCTGCAGAATTTCTTCAAAGGAGCAATATTCCCCGACGTCATCCTTCTGTAAATTAAAGGAATGGGCATTCATGAGGGGGAAGGAAGAGCTTCAAGTAAGAAATGTATTTCTAAAGGACTTAAAGCTCTGGTTGATTGCAAGCATTCAGTCAGCCTCATTCACCTCAGAGAGTTTCCCTCATTCTCCCACGATGCAGACTCGGGGGGGTTTTGCTGGCATTGTGTGCATCCCGCTGTCCCACCCACTTCCTCTCCAGTGCCACCCCAGCCTTCAGCCGTGCCTTCCCCATAGCAAGGCAGTTGCTATGGGAAGAACCCAGAACGAAATGCTGAGAGCTGCTGGTTAGCTGTAAAGTTGCTCATAAGGAACAGAAGATACTTTGTTTTGGCTGCGCAGTTTTACACCTCAAAGCAAATTGCAGCTGTTTTTGATGTAGTTGTTTTTTTTCCAGAAAACTAGTGTTCTATACCATAAAGGTTTAGCTGGCAAATCTAACAAAGTTAACTCAATTCTAGTCTTTTGTGGGGTACCCTAAACAGAGTGAAGTTTCTTTGTGTTCCCTTTCTAGATAGGTAAGACAACAGTTTTTAAAAATGTGGTGGTTCCTAAATGCTAATGTTTGCCAGGTCTTCAACGTAGAAAGATTTTCTTTTTAATCTGATGGAAAGACAGAACAGACCTCTGAGTACATGGAAATGGAGCATTTCCGTACTAATCCGATTCATCACTTCAATTTGTAAACGAGATCTCCAAACTGTCAGCCACGTCTTTGTGTATGCAGGAGAAATTTCCTTCGTTTATTCAGAGAGCATTGCCTGTCATTGTCATTACTGCACAGTAGCCCCTCTGGGCTGACTGAAAAGGTTCACTAAGCATTAAGCAATGGGAGTTCCCACAGAGGTTTCTGTCTTTCTTTTGGAAATGTATAATCAACTACTGGGCTGGATTACAAATTGGGTTGGTGCTTTTTATTCCCTGGTACCAAATTCAGGAGTTCTGCACTCCGTATTCTCCTAAATGCTGCAACACAGAACAGATGCAAAATTTTCTAAGTGGAAAGTTGTACTGTTAATTCTCTATTTGAGTCTCTGCCATTTATAATGCAACACTGGGTAACCAGCTCACTTGCTAGATACTGGAACATTATTCTGTAAAGCTTAAATTGCTGCTGTTACCTTCTGGAGCAGAAAGGAGAACTTTTCAGCCTCAACTGATGTAACTTTTTATAGTCTTGGTGTGATTCTGATCATGTGAGCACCAAGATGTGGTACCACTGAATAAAAATTTCTGCTAGAATGGGCTACTAACAATTTTCCTTGGCCACTCTGGGCATCACGAAGCCTCAGAGAAATTGTTTGATGTATACCTCAAACAGTATACAAAAAATATGCTATCTATCATATTACATTTTCCCTTTCAAAATATAAGTCTGAATGTTGATTGGCTTGAAACAAATGTTCGTAATAAAAGACAAATGGAGAGAAGGATCAAGTGATTTAGGGAGGAAGGATGAAGAAAACTGTCATTGTTGTGAAGGCTGAACATAAGACTATTTACATCACAGTTATGCAGCTTCCAATGGTTTGGCACTCATGTGATGCCCATGAATGAGCCAGTGCTATTCCAGTTTGATGGGAGAACCCCCCTGTTCCTGGAGTTACTAACCAGGTGGCTGGATGTCTGAGTTGAACTCTGGATGAAGCCATTTGTCTTTGAAATAATATGGGGGTTTTGGCTTCCAGGAGGAGTTCTGTTACCCCGTGGAATGTCTGGCTCTGACAGTGGAGGAGGTCATGCACATCCGTCAGGTGCTTGTGAAGGCGGAGCTGGAGAAGTACCAGCAATATAAAGATGTCTACACTGCTCTCAAGAAAGGAAAGGTAGGACTGAGTAGTCTGGGGAGGCTCTGAAGGGTACTAAGAGAGGCCAGTTTCACAAGCCTCCCATTTACACATTTGTTTCTTACCCTCTACTGGGGAGAAAGAAGAATTATCCACCAAAGATCCCCCTAAATGTGTGACACATGGGTCAACTTCTTTGAATGATGTCCAGAAACATCAGAACTTTTCATGGAAACACCTTGTTTGTTCAGATTGTCTATAAAAATGCACTAGTGTTTGCAATTATCAGAGTGTATCTGTATGTGTCTGGTTTGAGCTTCACTGACTGAGGTGATTTCTGTCCCCGTGCCTTCTGTAGGTTTGGTTACTTTTTCTGCTCCAGGTAATAGAATTACAAATAGCAGTGGAAAACTACATGTTTTTAATATGTGAATCCTTACTATCAAGCACAGAGGGAATTAAAGCCTTCAGAGAAGTGATGCAACACGTGACTCCAGAAGGAGGTTTAATATTAAAGAACCCTTAACTTAATGCATTTTTCTGTAAACTGCAGATTGGAGATTGGTACTCCCCAGTAGAAGCAACATCTTTTTCTCCCACTTTTGATTTGTGCTTCTTGGACACCTCCAGGAAGTCTGTTTTGACTTCACTGTGCATTTTATCTACAGACCTACCTGTGTCTAGTATGCAGATTTATTTTAAAGGTTTAATAAATTTAAGGCAGAGGAGCAAGAATCTTATAATGTCATTCATTAAATTCAACTGTTGCCTGTTGTCATGATATATAAAGTTTAGTAATGAGCTTTTATCAAATCTCAAAGTAGGTTGAGGCTTTAATTAATTTACCCCACTATTAAAATAGTTTGCTTTTATTTCTAACCAAAATTATCTAGTTAATGGGCAAGTATTTAATTTAGGCAAAACAATCAAAGGCCTATTTCTAAATATATGAAGATACAATTCTGGATCTTGTTCTCAGTATCATCTTAGAAGTACAGACCCCAGAATGGGATGTAGCACTGCCACTGTGACCTTGTCAACAACAACAACTGGTCTGTGAAGTCATCACTGTGTCGGACTTTGCTTAACACTGTGGATTCCTCTGTTCTTCTTCCTCTAGCTCTGCTTTTGCTGTCGAACAAGAAGGTTTTCTTTCTTTACCTGGTCTTACACTTGTCAGTTCTGCAAGAGGTAAGTATTTTTATGTCTGCTAATAAATGAGTACAATTTCATAGGGAAAATTATTGATTTATATGTTAGAAACCCTCAAAAATTTCTGCTGTATACAACAGTAGTAGGTTTGGTTTATTTCTGTAACAGTCTGTGTTAAAAAACTATGCAGAAACATTTAGTTTGTAAGTGACTGAATTGCTTCCTTGGACTGAAACTCTGGACTAAAAGTGAGAGAAGCATTCTTTTTTTTTTTCTTTTTTTTATGCTTATGAGAATGCAAGATGGAGTTTACTCAGACTCCTCACTCAACAGTTCTATAACCTCTATGTTTGGGGAAAACATTTCAAGGCAATTTACTTTTTGGGTTATTTTTTGAGTGTTGGTGAGATGCAAGAAGGAGTATTTGCAGGCAAAATGATAAATTTTAAGTTAACAGTGAGACAATAAGTCAGAAGATCTATGTAATCACTGAGTTTTGGTCTCACCAGAAGATGTTTCTTTAGAGGAAAACCAGCTTATTTTCCTTTTTTTCCCTGTTTTTTAATTTAGGTGTAGTTCTTGTTCAGCATTTCTCCTTGCTTCTGGGTTCATGTTCTGAGTGAAGTTACTATGTTGGAGAAGCTTTAAAAATAAAAACGTTTGTTTAAGGGGAGGACAGAGAGGAGCAGGTTTCTAATTCCTGAAATCCCTTATTCTTGATTTAAAAGTAATTTTTCCCAATGGATTGATTCATGCTTTTGCTTTTTTACACAGGCCTGTATGCTCACAGTGTTGCAAAAAAGTAAGTAAGGAAACTTCAAGTTTCAAGCCTTTCTAAAAAGCTTCAATCTTTGTAATGATGCTGCATGTGCCTTGTGCTGTTCCCAACAGATGCGGCTGCCATCAAAGCCATATTCCACCCTCCCCATCTTCTCCCTGGGACCTTCAACCTTGCAAAGGGGAGAAAGCTTCATGAGGCCAGAGAAACCCTCTACCAGTCACCACCATTCCCTGCGGAGCAGGTTAGAGACAGCCCGGCCTCACTTGTGTCTGTTGCAAATATTCCCCAAATGTTTCATGCTGGGCTATCAATCACGAGATGCCGCTCACCTGTTTTGCAGCTGGCCATGTTTCTAATGCCTCTAGTGACTTTCCTGAAGCCTGAAAAGCCTGGTCTCTTCTAGTCATTGCTTTGATGCACAGAAATAGCAGCCTGACAGTCTCTTAAACCTTTTTCACACTACAGCTGCAAAATAATGAGAGTATGGGACAATTGTATTTCTGTAGGACCTCTGAGAAGATATCCTTAACATGTCATTTTCTGGTCTGAATGGACTCTTTGCAGATAAACCTTGCAGGCTGCAATCACCCACTGAATGAGAATTCAATGATGTCTACTGCACAGATCTTCTCTTCCCCTCATTTTAATTACTCCAATTTTCATAAATTTTTCACTTTAATATTATGAAGCTATCTGTTGGTTTTATATCTTATACACAGATGGTTGTCAAAGCTAATCCAAGAACTTAAATATAAAAGAAATGCTCCTTTTTGTGGGAATCTGCTGTATAAACCCTCTGTATAAATCACCATTGCTATGGTGCTGTGTAGATTAGCCAAAGACATCAGCTATTTTTAGTTACTAGTAAGGTTGTTTTTGCCAGGATATAAATGTTACACATGCCCTCAGTCAGCGACCCTGCAATCTTGCCAATCCAGGCAGAAGCTGTCCTCTCCAGTATTTGGTGTAATTTGGGACAGGAGGAAGGAAAATTTAAATCCAGACCTTTCTGATGTGATCTTTCCTCGGGCTTATAGCCAAGCTGACAAATAATGTGACAGATCCTGTTCTTTTGCCTTCCAGGTTGACCTCAAGGTCCAAGTCTGTGGATAAGTCACATGAAGAGTTTCCCAAAGAATTAATGGAGGACTGGAGCACAATGGAGGTTTGCGTGGACTGCAAGAAGTTCATCTCAGAAATCATCAACTCAAGCCGGCGCAGCCTGTCTCTGGCCAACAAGCGAGCCAGGTTAAAAAGGAAAACGCAGTCCTTCTACATGTCATCACCAGGAACCTCGGAGTACTGCCCCTCAGAAAGGACGATCAATGAAATCTGAGCCGTGTGCCTTCTGCTTTGCTTCCGTCTCCATGAGATCATCATCCATGAGCGAGGTCACTGGAACCAGATTGTCACCCATTGCTTCGTTCCGCTTGACTGGCTTGGGTTTGCATTCCATCACGGGATTTCCTATTCCAGCAGTTCCCAGAGACACAGAGCGCTGTGTTTGGATCTGTGCAGGGTGATACGCGACGGGTCAGCTGCTCGCGCTCAGAGAAAATCAGTAGTTTGAAATTGTTGCCTCTTTTGTATGTGTGCGTCGAAATGAGAAAGCCTTTTCTTGCTTTCAATCTTTTTTTAACCATGCTTTGAATCATTTTTCAGGAGAGGAGCTGAGAGCAGCTGTGTGATGGAGAGCCAGATCTAGCACAGTGTCAGTGTTAGCGCAGTAGCAAGCAGTAGGTCCTGCTGCATTCCCACCCTTGGAATGCTCACACCCTTGTTGAGGCAGCCAAGGGCCGTGTCACTCACCAGCGTGAGCAGCTCCAGTCAAATCCATCTTCCTTTGAACCATTTTGGTTGCTCTGAGATCAGGGTTCAGCACGGGACTCTGCAGTGTCCTGGGGCAAAGCAGGTGACAAAGCTCTTCGCCCGTGTGTTCGGTCATACCCCTGAGCTGCTGTACTTCTTAAGCCTTAGTGTCCTTCTGAGTGACTCCTGAGCAGGTTTTAGTAGTTTACTTTCTATCTTGAATGTATGATAATGACTACTAGTAGCAGTGAATTTTAGTAGTAGACAAAGTTGTACAGTTTATGGGGAGGACGGGAAATAAGGGAGGCTTCTAATTTTAACTGAATACCTGTAACATTGTTCTCGTGGTTACTCAGAGAAAGCAGTGAGTAAGGTGTAAATTTGTATTATAATGGAGCACACAGATACTGCTATAGTTCTGTCTGACAGCATATCCACTAGTAACCCCATTTTTTCTGGGGTTTGTAACTTGGCTGTAAAAATTCGTGTTCTGCTGAAATTTGGGACGGTGCTCTCTCAGATTGGGAGCGATCTCTCTTTTTTTTCTGTAATCTTTTTTTTCATTCTTTCCCCCCTTTTAATTCACTCACAAGGGAGTGCTAGACTAATTGTTTAGAAGTTCCAACAACTTTACATTAACTGACATCTCATGCTTTTTTGCACTTTTTTTGATATTCAAAATACTTTTTTTTTTTTTAATTCAGTCATAGACAGAGTTTAGTCAATAATTTGGGCCAGATCTTTTTGGTATTTAAAAACAAGCTAACATAGCCAAGTTATTAATACTTGAAAATCAACTACTGTAACTTTTTTCATAAATTTTTTAATACCCTGAGGCATATTTAATACCTATATAGCGGTGTATTATAGAATGACATAGCAGAAAAGTTTCAGATCTATTTATTAACATTTCTATACTTCGAGTTAATGAGAGATACCTCAGAACTGCTCCAAAGTAGCTGGGACTGGACTTCCATAACATAATTTTAAAAGTGAATTAACCAAAACAGCTTCCTCTGTTCAAAAAGCCCAAGAGACAGACTGCCTCTCTGGCCCTGGCAAGGCACAGTGCCCAGGCTGAGAGGCACCAGGGCTGCTTGGCTCCCATTTGGCAGCCTTTGGAGCAGCCATCCATATAGTTTCTTTTAGGCTGATTTGAAAAGCACATGCAAAAGTCTCTGTAAACCTTCCCAGGGAGTCAGCCATCCTTATTTTTTGTTAAAAGCCCCCTTGGAAAATGAGAATTTTTGCATATGTAGGGTTTATTGAAATAGTTTCGATTTTTTTTCTGAACCAATGTGAACAGGAAAAGCAGGGCTCAGTGCTAACTCTCCCTCTTTGCTGTCCCGTGTAAGGTCAGGTGTCACAGTCCTCTCCTCATGGTACTTCTGGAAAAGTGTCTAGCCTGTTCAGGCACCTGGGATGAGATAGGGATGCGGGATTGCAGGGGAGCAGCACAGGCTGGCTGGTGGGAAAGGTTCTGCTGTTGCTGGAAGGGTCGCCCGATCTCAGTCACATCAGCACTTTTTCTTGTTTCTGTGCCAAAACCAGGCCGTGTGTTTGCTGCACAGTGCACCAGGGAAACCAGAGGGAAACAAATGCAGGAAATCTCACTTTGCATCTGCCCTGTTGTTGTCATGATTTTTTCATGGAGATGCCCTGGCTATGTTACAGTCCTCTGCTCACAGTCTGCTTCCCTGGTGTCCTCAAGCCACCGAGGTGCAGAGCATCCAGCACATTTATTTTCCTCTTGGAGAGGAATTTGGGATGTTGTAGAGCAGGCAGGATGAAGGACTAAGTAACTCCTGAGCCTACAAAGGCAAACAAGTCCTTCATGGGTGTGCCCTGCTCCACTCTGGCAGTGTCTGGGGGTGGCTCTGGGGCAGTGACAGAGCCCTGTGATCCGGCCTGTGCCTTCCCAGAATTCCCACAAGTCCTTGGCTCAAGGCAGGCTCTGCTGTGCTGGGCAGGGAAGAAACACTGAAAAACAATGCAGTGGTTGTACAGATGGCTCCCTGTAGCTCACACAAGGCTGCCATGGGCCAGGGCCTGGATAACCTCTCTTTTTCCCTGGAAAAAACCCTCCAAGCTGCTGACACATGCTGTGGCAGGCTCCAGAAGACATGGTGTGAAGGGCTGCCTCTCCTCCTCGCTCCATCCCTTCCTCCCTGGCACAGCTGCTCCATCTTTTCCTGGCATTTCGTTCCGCAAGAGGAGAAGCAGCGGGTTGGCTCATCGTGGAAAGCCTAAAGGAGCTCAGCTCGCTGGTTGCCTGGCTTTGCAGAGTTGGCTATTTTTAGCTTTCCGTCTCCTCCCTGCCTGCACCAGCATCCCAAATCCACTGCAGCCATTGGCCCAGCACCCCGTGGTGCTGCCCAGCATGTCCTAGTTACGGGCTGAACTTCACGTCAGCGTCGGAGGGGGAAATCAGAAGCTTGTAAATATCTGTAATATATTTATTAATAATTAGGGAAGTCTCCATCAATCATGCAATGGGAATTGACTTTCCCATGATGTTCTAAAAAGGAAATGAGTCTTATTTATATGTGTGTTGGCTGTTATCTTTTATTAGAGTTAACGCTTTCAGCCCCCTAATACCGTTTGCACATCTTAGAGATAATTACTGCTGAAAAGAACACAGCAGTAGCACAGTGAACTCTGTTCCATGAATTTTAAAATTATTTTCTTCTGGGTTTTTTTAGCTTTATTAGTATGCCCAAGGTCTGTCAAAATATGTCATAGGAGACCCAAGGAGCTAAAAATGCCTCTGGCAGCATCAGTCTTGTTTTGTATGTGAACCTGGTTGTGGGGAATGCAAAACCAGCTCTGCCTCACAGCAGTGACGGAAGATGTGAGCAGGCTTTTGCTACAGCTCTCAGACCTGACCTTTCAAGTGTTCATGGTGACAGTAGTGTTTTTGAGGGGTTGTTGGGTTTTTTTCCCCTTTCTCCATTACTTCCTTTATACAGGGAGGGGTGTTACCTGGTAAAAATAAAATGCCTTTCCATTATAACCCTTGTCTGTGTTAATTATTCATGGGGAAACTGATTTAAAGGTTCTGTCTCTCTCTTTTTCATGCTTTTATAGTTTTGTAAGATCAGTCAGATGTTTCTTTTGGCAAAGAATTGTTAACGAAAATGATTGCATAACAGCTGAACACTGTCTGGGCTGCATGAAGGGATGAAAACCTGTCGAAGTACCCTTAGAATAGCAGTAAAAACTGCTTGTGTAACCCCAGTGATGTGATTAGCTCCTCGTCATCACCTGCAGCCAACTCCCTCTGTTACCAGTGTGTTGCTTCTTCCAACACTGGCGGGCTGTACCTGAGGCAGCACATTTGTCCTGCATGTAATACAGGCTTTGGGAAATGTCCATCCCTCCCTCATCATTGGGAGAGAAATGCTGACAGTCTTTCACAGAGGTTTTTGATGGATTTGGTTTAGTTTTTTAACCAGAAGTGAAGAGAACGTTATTATCACAACTCTTACATTTTACTCTCTCTTCTCTCCTGAGCATCCCTTTTTCCATAATCAAGTTCAGCATCAGCTTCCCTGCTTCATTACTGGCTGCATGCTCTATAGGTTAAAACTTACTTAGAACCTTCAGCTTTAAACTCCTGATTGCTACCTTCCTGCTTTACTTCATCCAGCAGCTCTGCACAACTCTTAGGAATGTCTGTCTTAGAGCTCAGTCTCATCTGTGAAGCAGTGACAGCACACAGGCATGAGAGAAAGGTGCTGCAACTCTACACTGGTGCTACAGCACATGGACTATGTTCATGTTACCAGAAAATTTTATACTGTTGCCATGTTGATAACTTGGAGCTGCTCTGGTTTATTTCTTCTTTTGTGTACGTGTATTTTAAGGCCAGTCTGAGAATGTTTATGAATACCAATTCCAGCTGTAGAAACCTCTTTCATTGTTCCTGTCTGATTTTTACTACTGTGTTTCAGATTTTCTGGGTACCTGAAATTACTATTCCCCAGAACTTCCTTGTAGGAGAACCATGACTGAGGGCCATTAGCTCAGCCTGATGTGATACACAAAGCCACAGAACTCCTGTACTGAGCGGCACCTGTGAGCTCCAGCAGCCCAGAGCAGAGGAAGCCTGGGGCCTTCCCTGTTCCCTCACCTTGACATTGAAAGATCCCAGAGTTGCCCATGTTGCTCAGCTGCCCTGGCACAAGCTATGAGCTGCTCCATGTCCCCAGCTGCAAAAAGACACTTCAAAGTGGTTACAAACGGTTTAAAGAATTTTGAGAGCTGCTGCTGAAGAGCTGAGTGCTCAGTGCCAGAACTGAAAGATGTAAGATCAGTCAGTGCAAGTTTCCATCTGCTTTCAGTACTTGAAAATAATTAGCCCTACTTCCAGGTAGGAGACAAATTCCAGAGAGATGAAACTTTACAATACTTAGACAAGCAAAGACTTGTGAATGAATTTTTCTATGGTAGATCTGCACTCAACAAATGTCATGGGGCATAATCAGGAGATGGAACTAAATAGGTATAAAATTTTATGCAGTAGTAGCTTAGTTTGTTTATTTGCAATAAATCAATTCAGTAATGTTCCAGTTTCTTCCCTGGACAGGCTGTTTTGCAGTGGCAGTGCCTGGCTGAACTGAGTGTCAGATGTGAGGTAGCCCAGGCTCTGTGTCCTGAGATAACGGGAGCTGCTGCAGTCTGCAAAGGTCAGCGAGATGGCTTCTGTAGAACATTTCTAGAGGAAGCCCTTTGGAACAGACCCTTCAGAACAGTCCTTACTACAGCTAATTAAAAAATACATTTGTAAGCAGATTGTCTGTCAAGGTGCCATGCTGCTACTGTAAACTCACAGCTGAAAAGGACCTGTTTGATTATTGATACATTTGTTTTAAAATAAATCCAGCCCATAAGAGCACTTAGTATGAAAAAAACATATTCTTGGTCCCTCCAATGCAGCTGAAGAAGGTGTTTCCACTAAGCTCTCTGCATTGCTCTAACCAGTGACACCAGTGCTTAGAAATGGGAGCCAGCAATGCTTTGGCTTTTGCAGGATGGGCCCTGGGCCAGACAGTGCAGCATGGGATTTTTAAACTGGATTTCAGAAACTACTAAATCTAGAATTAAAGGACATGGGCATGAGCTGATGTAAGGTCTGCAGGAGGTAGGTTTCCAAAGTTTGGTGGAAGTAAGCACCAGTTCAGCTGGCACAGATCTATAGAGAGGCAGCACTCTCATGTCCCAGCTTTCAGGAGAGACAGAGCCCAAGGCCCAGCTTCAGTTGAGGAGGTTTTAACATGGGCATGTTACTATTGAAGGGCTGGTGGTTACACTACCTGTGAATCAAAAGCAAAATGAAGATAATGAGAAGGGGCTTTGAGCTGTATTTCTGTTAAAGCTGGTTCCATCTCCCTAACCCCCTTCTTTAATAAATAAATCCCAAATAGGAGCTGCACTTTTTGGACATGAACAGGCCTAAAGCACAAACCCTTCCCCTCTGAGCTTCCCCTGCTTCTCTGCTGTCACTGTGCATGTACCGTCTGCGCATCTTCAGGGACACCAGGGGCATCATCTCTAACAGCGAAAGGCAACAGAATTGTCTTCTGCTTGTTTCCATGTTACGTGGTACTGAAATGCAATTTCTTGTTTATGCATTACTAATAAAAAGCTCTTTAAAATTACTGCATTACTCTCGCCTTCTTGAGGGAACTGTGAATACCACAGGCACCATTTTTTACAAAGCACAGCTGGCAAGGCTCTGCTCCACATTTGTTTGGCCAGGCAGAGCCCTGAACCTTAGGTGCTGCAGATATTAGCAAGGTCAGAAACAAAATTATAGCAAAGTAAAAGAGAAGGTATTTTACCAGCAGGGCCCAACATTAGGAGCCCTTACTGATCATTTCACTTGCAGGTGCCTTCCAGTAAAATGAGAATCATACCTCAATCACCTCAGTTGTGGAAAAATTAAAAGGACAGGACTTGTGTTTCACAGAAATACCTTCTCATTGAACAAATCCATAGTGAAAGCATGACCTGCTCCCTGGAGCTGTGATTAAAAGGCTTAGCCCATAACCTGCATGATTCTGACAGGTGGCAAGTAGTGTTGGTGGGGTAGGAAGGTAGTTTATTAGATAAATAAGGTCTTATTTACAAGTCAAGGCTAGTCATTTTAGATGAGTCTTTCCTGTTCTAATGCAAAATGAAGCAGCTGCCAGTCCCAAATGGGGTTACCGGTCCAGGCCTAGAGGACCCCTGCAGAGCTTTTGAGCAGTCTGTGGCTTACAGCAAGCTCCAGGGAGACTGGTACTGGATCCTGCTGCCTACTAAGCACAGACTAATGGAAAGTATTTTTCTGCAGCTTTCTCAGAAAACCAACAGCATAATAGGTATTACCACAGCCACACCCAGAAATGTTTTTCTAAACTGCACATGGGATTTTGGATAGCACCATATACATAGACACTTCACAGCCCCGGCCTTCACAGCTCTCAGTCTAGGGAAGTGCAACTGTAGGAATGGTGTTGCCTACCCACTGCTCCGCCTGAGGATTTGAATGAAAAATGTCTCAGCAAGGAACATGGCTGGTCATTTACTCAGTGCTAAGTTATTACATTGTTAGTACATCAGTGCCCAGACTGTGCTCTGCAGCAGTTCCTGACACCACCTGCTGCAGTTCAGTGCCTTTGCTTACTTTAAGCAAAACTTTCAATATGGGAGCTTTCACTAGGATTGCCTGTTGTCCCAACAAATAAAACCCTTCCTCCATTGTGCCTGCTGACCTGATGGAGGAAAAGCAATAAGAAGCACGGGGGTGAGCATGGAAGACTCACACTGACACAAGGCCAAGTTAAGAAAAAGACAGGATAGTCTAAACAAACCAAATTCATTACACACCAGACCATTTGACTACCCTATTTTACGTTAATACCTTTTGTTGCTAACATGAGCATGCATCAGCACAAAAACTAGACATCAATCAGAAGCCAAGTCTACTTTGAGTGTGAGATCTTCAACATCTTAAAATCCTTCAGGGCCAAGAACCAAAATGCCCAGTTTGCCACGCTCTGGGAACCACTGCTGCTCTCTTCCCTAGCTGCTTCCCCTGCAGTCAGGAACCAGCTCTTCCCAGCTTCTTCCTTCCACAGCAGGCCTAGGTGATGCAGATGTAGGGATGGGGAGAGCAGCCACACTTCTATCCAACGTGGAGACCTGGTGCCAAATTCTTAAAATCCAACCACCTCCCTACATCACATGCCCCTCCATTTTCCTTTAACTGCAACCCAGCAGCTGAGAAGCACCAAACTGCAGCTTGAACTGCTGCAAACAACCTCCCTCTTACAACTCACAAAACCCAACTTCAGTTCCCCTTTCAACTCTCAAAGTGCAGATTCAAGATGGCACTTGCTACCTATTAATCAACACGGTTACAAGCACTGAGCTTTCTTCTGCTTGGCCCTCAGCACTTCAAAATCCCTTCAAGTAAATCAGCACTGACTTGACACCATATCTGTTCTACACATTTTTTTCCACCTACGTATCTTTTTCCTCCTTCTGCTCCAATCCAAGAAGCTGTGCTCTGCTGCTCCCACAAGCAGCCTAACACTTCCCTCACATGCAGCTTTCTGTCTTTGAGACACTTCAATCAATGCATGTGATGTAAAACTGACTTCAGAAATATTTTTTAGCCATTTCCAGTAAAGGAAGAAAAGACAGATGGAATTCTCTAGGGAGCAACAAAAATAGACAATTCCAAAGGCAGAGTTTTTTTTGCCTCAAGGGTACCTCAGTCTGTAACAGTCTATGAAGTGGAATGGGAATTGGGATGCTTCAAAAACAGTGTTATGCACAGCACAGACAGGTAGAGATCCCACTGGATCCCATCGATCTGACCAGTCACATGGCCAAGGGAGAAGTTGGAAGCCCCATATGCCAACAATAAGGACAGAGAGCAACAATAAGCCCAGGAAAGCTTATAGGAAATTAAGAACCACTTCATCTGCTGA